CCGCCCGACTCTGGCCCGCAGTTCGGACATGCTCCTAACCTGCGTGGACGCGGCCCTCGGCCTCCCGCACGGCCGCACAGCAGGCCTCATCCACCGCGCCGCTCTCATGCGTCTGCGCACTGATACTGTTTTCCTTCTTCAGTTTCTCACGTGGTCCGACGCTTTTGAAGAACGCTGGGGCTTCTCATTCACTTTGCCCTCATCCTGACCAGCGTGGTTCGGCCAGCATGTTAATTGTATGTGCCAATCTTGCGTTTATACTTGTTTCTGGTAAGCCTGTTGTTCGGTCGTTGGTGCGTACTCTTCACACGCAGTATATATGCATTTGTTGTTCCTCCTTCCTGAATGTGGTGACGTTAACCCGGCCGGCCACCTTCGTTATCTACTGCTTGGCTTTCAGAGCAAACAGGTGGGACAAAATGCGTTGTACTTTTCAAGAGCGAAGAACGCTGGGGCTTCTCATTCACTTTGCCCTCATCCTGACCAGCGTGGTACGGCCTCGCCCTCGCCGCAAGTGCGCGTCCTGCCTTGTTCACCCGGGCGCTGTTCCCTGGTGCGCCGTGCCTGCTGGCGGGGGTGGCGGCTTCAGCCCCACCCCACGCACCCGAGCCATCACGCCATGTCTTGTCCGCCATGTCGTAGCGGGTGCATCCGCTGTGAGGGCCTCCTCTGCACCCTCGCACTGTCTCTGCCTGTGAGCATGCTGGGCCATACGGCTCCCAGCATGTGCACCTTTTCCTCAGCGCGTCTGGCGCCCTCTGCCGTCCGCCGCTTGGTCGCGGACTCTGTCTCTGTGCGCTCTGTGCTGGGCCATGCGGCTCCCAGCTGGTGCACCTTTTCCTCAGCGCGTCTGGCACCCCTCTGCCGTCCGCCGCCTGGCCGCGGGCTCTGTCACTTTCGAGGTCCGCCAATGGGGGCTAAAGGTTAGCTGGCAGTGGCTGGTGCCGCTGTGCTGTCGGCTAGCTTTTGCCGCTTCTGTTGGGGTTCTCGGCCTGTGCGCGCTGTGCTGGGCCATACGGCTCCCAGCTGGTGCACCTTTTCTCTTTTCGCCAGCCCGTGCGACCGCGAGGCACCGCGTCCACGGGGCCTGGGCGCGGGGGCGGGGGGTGCCCCGTCTCTGCGCGCCGCGCAGCGGCCAAGCGCCCAACCGGCGGTCCGCCAAGCCGCCTTAGCCACGTTCTTCACGTCGCCACTCGCGTTGGGGCCTTTTTTCTTCACGCGGTCTGACAGGTGAGATCTTCACAGTCTGTCCGCCGTCCGTAGCTTCAGACGCAATGCGCCGGGGGAGGGGGCCTGTTGCCCGCCCTCGTATCTTAAGGCTGCACCGCCGCTAACAGTGCTTTGCGAGTTGTCGCACCGCAGTGCGCCTCGCGGACGGACCCTGGTCCGCCTGCTTGTCCGCTCTCTCTCCCTCTCCCTCTCCCTCTCCCTCTCCCTCTCCCTCTCCCTCTCCCTCTCCCTTTTCCTGTCGCAGCGCGAGTGCAGGGCCCAGTCCAGCTGTCTCTGCCGCTCGCCAGCAAACTCTCGCACAGCTCCGTCCAGAGAGCAATCCCGAGGATGAGTCCCAGGGAAACTTCCCCCCGAAAAATCTGACATTCGGCATTTGCGCCCTGGCTAGCTCTCTGGGGCAAGCAAGTATACATCTCACCGCCCAAAGGCGGCCTCAGGGGCCCCTGAGCCAGAACGGTTGCGGATAGCTGCAATGTGAAACGCGTTCCAACTGAAACTCAACAGGGGAAACGCCGTTGCATTCACATCCCCAGAAATCTTGGTTGCAGCTAGCCCGCCTTCGGCTCCGGGCTCTACTCTTGGAGTCGCTACCAAAATGGTGCGCCATATAAACTCGCAGCACAGATAACTGCCATAAGCGCCAGCCTCTTGAATAACTCATAAACCGATTCACTGAAAAGAATTCCTGCTCCGGCCCCTGGTGCTGGCGCACAAACTCGGGGACCGTTCAGAATCACAAAACTAACCGAAAAGGCTCGTCTCGGACCTTGTCCTCATCCACATCATTATCATCGCCCCCGTCTGCTGCATCTGGTAGTGTGACCTCTGCCTTGTGAAAACCATCTTGATGAGTCCGGACACGTCCGTGTTGTTCTCGAATCTGCTGAGTCCTCTTTCTTTCCTCTTCTTGGCGCTGAGCTGTTCGTCGTCCTCGACCGGAGCCCAGCTCCACGTCCTCGCGCGTAGCTCGATAGGCCCCGCTGCCGTCGTCTTCGTCAGACTGCCCGCCAGGTTCGCTTTGGAATGACACCATCGAACGATCTACTTCGTCTCGTTGGTGCACTTCTCGAATGCCATCAGCTCCAGCGCTGTCCTCTTCTCCGCCAGACTCTGCATCTGCACCTGCTTCACAAGGCAGTCGTAGATACTCTTCGCGCCTATGCATAGACACGACCTGATCTGCATGACACCTTCGATCATCGGCTTGGCAACTTTCATCTCACTCGCGGTTCCCGATACCACGTCCGATACAAATCCGTTCAGTTCTGCCCACATCATTCGTACCATAAACGGTGCATCCTCAGCCGCTGTGAGGGCTTGAACATCCGCCGCCAATGAACTCCTCGCCACGCGCTGTGGCATCCCACTGCGATGCGAAACCCAGCCCACTGGTGATCGTTTTCCACTCAAGATCTTTTCGGGCGCGATCCCAATCACGTAGCCTCTCGTAGATAGTCCGTCCGGTCGGTTCGCCCGCGCAGCGTCACTCCAGCCCACGACCACGGCCTCGCTCTCGAACGGCTCGAACTTCAGCTTGTAGCTTGGATCGTTCTTCATCTGCCTGATCAGCTTGTTGATCCCGAAGGGTGTCTCCACTGTCGCCGTTGGTCCACTGCTCTGGAAAATGAAACACTGCGCCTGGTACTTCGGCATCGTCTGTGTAGCTGCCCAATGAATCTCGCCGAGCGCATCCGCATCATTGTCATCTCCTGGTCCGTCAGCTTCTGATCGCGTTGTTTGTGACGCTCCTGGCTGATGTTGATCTCGGTGGCGTTGTCGATGAACTCCTTCTGGTGCATGGTGATATCGCCGTTGACTTCCTGACTGACTGCCAGTCCGGTCTGCTTGAATCTTCTTCCCGCGGCGTCCACCTGAATGCCTTTTGCAGCTTCATCTCGATATCTCTCCACCGTACTCCACCATTTCCAGCGATCTGGAAGTCGCCCACGTGAGTTCCGACCACTCCATACACAGTGCCGTCCTTGTCGCTGAGACCCACACGCACGGATCTGAAACACATCGTTGTCCACCGAGCTGTTCCACCAGGGTGTCCACGCTCTCGTACCATGACTTTGGCGCTTGACGCAGTCCATGCACGGCCTGCTTCAGTTTCACAGCCATCACTTTCGGTACTCCTAGCTCCTCCACCAGCTCGTCGTTCGCCTCGATGTATGTTGGCTTGGCGTCTGGCATCCCCTTCCTTTGTAGGAGCGCTGTCTTCACGTCGCCCTTCTTCGGCTTCCATTTCTTCATGGCCGTCAGCCGGAAGATCATGTTGCGTGCTCTCCTCGTCATAGTGGGTGATGCGACTGGTTCCTCTCCTAGTCTCGGGTCTTGGTATCCCAGCACCACCAGTCTCGCCTTGGCTCGACTTCCTCCGGCGCCCTCGCCCTTGTTCCAGGCCAGCGCCCATCTCGTCTTCAGTACGTCCGACTGCTTCGGCTTGGTGTGCGGCGGTAGCATCTCGAGTACGTCATTGGCCATCCAGTCTCTGACCTCTACCAATACGCCCCCTTCATCAAGCTCTTCTGTTCCCCCGTCATATTCTTGACACTCGCTTGGGACCTTCCTTTCTTCAGTGCCTCGGTGACGTACTTCTCGGGCTGTCTGGCGAACTTCCACCTCGGTGCATTCCGTGCACGTCGGGATCTGAAGCTCTTCCTCTATCTCGGACGCTGCCCAAGCTGCCAAGTCGAAGTCGTTCCAGTCCACCTGCTCCCAGTCCAGCTGGCCCCCGTCGGCCGCCTGGTCATTGAAGACAGCGCTGTAGTTCTTGAGCGCAGGCCCGTAGATGGTCCGCATTCTGACATCCCTCTGCGTTTTCTCGAACAAGTCGGTCTTGACCTTCCTCTTTTCGGAAATTCGTCTTTTAATATCTTTTTGTTCGGCAGTTGTCTGTTGCGTTATCTTTGCCTTGTCTCTCTTGGTGTCCCCCATCGGTGGCTGGTCTTTCTCTTCGTCCTTCTTCTTGGGCCACTGTCGTCGGTTCCTTGAGAGTCTCCGACTTCTCCGGCTCAGCGGTCTGGTCCACTTGCATCTTCTCCGTCGCCGTGATGATCGGAACAGGTATGTTCTCCCAGTCCAGCGTCTCCCCATCGATCTCGTTGACTTCCCGTGGATGTTCCAGTTATCGTCCTTGGCCGTCTCCTCTGAGCCGTCCTCGTACTTGATCACGGTGACCCTCTCCATGGTTGTCTTTTCCGGTCTCGATCTAAAACCTCTCGGTTTAAATAGCGCTACCCTGGGTCGATGATGTATTCGAACGTGAGCTGGTCGCCCGTCGAATTCGACTTCTTCCCATCGGTCCTCCTGTTCTCCATCGTCAGGTGCTCGAGCGTTGGCCTCCAGAACGTGCGTCTCCTCATGCATGGGTGCGTCCTCCTTGTCCGCGGATATCACCTCGCCTTTGTTGAGACCCCCGAGTGCTTCCACAAAGGTCCACGGTGTCTGCTTCTCCTCGAAGAACATCTCCTCCTCTCTTGGACTGGCCGCTCGTAGTTGTTCCGGTGCGCACCTCCACAAACCTGGATGGATCCCATCCGAACCCAGGCTTTCCTTGATTTGACCAATGTTCTGTCGCCTGTCTTAGTAGTCTGTGCACCGAGAACGGTACCTGGTCCAAACCATCGTCCTCGATCGATCCCGTGCTGTCGCGGTCCTCCCGGCGCTGGTTGGCTCGCCTGCTTCCCGCGCCTCCAGACGCAAACCGACGTGCCAGGGTAGAGATGCTGCAGTCTCTGATCTCGGGCTGCAGCTGCTCTGGTTTGCTGCTATTTGAGTATCCGCTCGCCAATGATCTTGGAGGGCAGCGCCCGCTCGGACAGGTTCTCCATGTAGCTCTTGTTGGTGCACTTCACGATGTCCAGGTGGTCCTCCTTCCTCAGCGTTCCGGACCAGTTCTTGTCCCGTCCGAATGCCCATTGGCTTGGACTGTAGCCGTCAACTCTCTCGACCGCGTTGTGAGCCTCCACTGCTGCATGCACTGCTGCCTCTAGGTCGGTCTCGTGGTCCCGATGCATGGCCTTGGCGCACTCGAACACCGTCCTGATCCCGTTCTGCCAGTGTGCCTGAGTCGCGCGCGGGTCCACCTGGACTCCTTCTCCAGCGATGTTGTCAAAGAGCTCGCGTGGAACGAACGCTCCTTCAGGATCGATACGAAGTACACTCGGCATGCCGCATCTGTCTTGTCCAATGTCCGCGGAATGCCTCCAATAGCTCCTTGGCCGTGCAGTTCCTGGACTCCTGGGCGGGCACTGAGGAGATCTTGATGGCCAGCGTCAGCTTGCTCGCCTCGTCAACGACCACTAGGTACTTCCCCTTTGATTTTGTCGTTCCCGACGACTTCCTTCACGTCGATGCCCGCCGCCTGCCAGGGATCTCTGGCCGGTTCCAATACTGCTGCTGGTCGAGGTCTCTGGACTTGGTTCTGGATGCACGAGCTGCACTTGATCTTCTTCACTGCTGCTATTGTCGTCGCTGAAGCTCCGCGTCTCCTCAGCATCCGAATCAGCACCCTCGGTGGTCGATGTCCGGTGTTGCGGTGTAGTCGCATGGCTGCTTTCATTAGCTCGTTCTGCTTCAGCGTCGGCAGTCCATCCCATTGCTGTTGCTCGTCACTCGTCAACTCCATCTCCTTCTCGTTTTCGAACATATCCTTCTTTTCGCTGGTCCAGACCTCTCCCTGCTTCAACTCCTCAATCATGCCCAGCATCTCCGGCGGCCCACCGATGTTCCGCCAGATGGTCCTCGCCATCCTAGCTGAGTATCTTCCTGACAAAAACGCGTCCTTCCCACAACGATCAGCATGTCCGTGTCCTCCGGGGTCTGGGCGTCGCTTTCCACTCAGCACCGTCGCAAGCTTCTTCCTGCTGGTCCACAGCGCCCATGGCTTGTGGATCGGCTCGCCCTTGGCGTTGACTACGCCGACCTTGCATGCGTCGAAATTCACCTTTTCCATGCCCATCTCCTCAGAGAACTCCGTCCGCTCCGGAAAGTACCTCCATCCATGGCAGTTGCGTGGCATCTCGAAGTGCACGTCTCCTCCGTTGATCTTGACGATCCTGCTCACCTGCATGAAGTGATTCACGATATTCTTGAGGTTCCTCTTTCGTGCTTCGAGCTTCCTCCAGCACTGGCTGTCCTGTCTGCCGATGTGTCCGTTGCGTAGTGCGCTGACTGCTGTGCATGGTAGGCTTCCCAAGATGTCCGCTCCAGGGTTCTGTGTCGCGATATTCTTGGCCAGCTCCAATCCGTCCTTGGTGCTGAGGTCCGCGTCCTTCCGGGTGATTCTGATGATCTTTGCGTCCTTGCGTTCCTCAGCGATCTTCCCGAGCTGGCTGTCTTCCTCCGCGCAGAACTCCATCAGCTTCTTCGCGCGCAGATCCCTTGCGAGCCCTGCCTCAGTTACCTGCTCCAGTAACCAGCGGTAGTACTTCATGTTGATCTCCTCCTTGTGGCACTCGACGTCAGCCCCGAAGGCGGTGACGTCGTTGCCCCCGTTGGGGACGTCGGCATCCTAGCTCAGACCCCTCTGCCTCCCCGCCCTGGGGAGATTCCTTCTTCTTGCGACGTGTTTGGTGATCTGCTGGCCCCTTCGTGCTGTCCCGCATCTGATCGGACAGCGCGTCGGCTCTGGCCCTCGGGTCCGCGTCCGGGCACGGCGTCTCCTCCTCGTCGGATTGCCCAGCCTTTACGAACGAGTCCTCCGAGGACACCTCCTCGACCTTGACCCTGCTCTCCTTCTCGGATGTCGCTTTCTCCTTGGTGATCCGCTCCTTGGTGATTTCCTCGGTCTTGAGCTTCCCCACTGTCGGTCCCAACGGCCCCGTCTGTCGGCGCTTGCCCGTAGCCCCGTGCTTCGGCACATACAGCATGACCAGCTCGCACTCGATGCGCTTGTCGTTCACCTTGTACTGGTTGGCATGCCTCGACAGCGGGTGCGTCGTGTCGTGTTCTCCGTAGAAGGGCTTGCCCAAGTAGCGAGCGTCCCTCGCGTTGGCCGATTCCGCTCTGTTCCAGTCCAGGCGTAGATCGCAGCGATCCAGATTCATCCACTCGCCGATAGTCCGTCGGGCCCATCGCTCTGGGTCTGTCTGTCGCCGTCGTTGGTCTCCACCGACCTTCTGCTGTCCGGAGCCACCGTCGGGATCATTGTCCTTCTTGCTGTTGAGGCTCCTGGTGGGGTTCACTGGGGTGTCGGCTGCTGTCGCTGCCCCCGCTGCTCCGGGCGTGATCCCCAGTGACCTGAGCCGGGGTCGCGATGATCCCTCGCAACCTCGATCTCGAGCCAACATGTAGCGGATGACGGCCGCCGTCATTGTCACCGTCATATCTCTTGATCTGGGGTAGTTCGCTCTTCTCCCGCAAGGCGTCAGTCACATTCACCTCCTGGGGCTTTGGAGTCTTCTCGAGCCCTCTCGAAACGCTCGCAGGCCTCTGAAGCCCCCTGAAAAAAACATCTCGCCAACTTCCGAAGTTAAATCCGCTCGATCGTGTCGGTGTAGTTCGGGTCGCCGAAAATATCCGAAACCGGGTCGTAGTACTCGCAGTCCTCGATCGAGCTGTCTTTCGCGTCGGACTCGCCCATGTTCTCGAAACCCGTTCCCGTTCGGAACTCCTCGGTCTTATCTCCAAACCCGTGCCCGCGAAATCTCCAGTGGCTTCCGTAATCAAATTCGCAATCTCATTGGTTTCGGCAATCTCCCAATGTTCTCGGTCCCCTCCACTGCTCTCACTGCTCTGGCTGGGTTACCAATCCAGTGACGTGGTGCTGGTCCTTTGCTGTCGCCAGCACCGCAGAAGGAAGGGTGCTGTCCGTATTCTGCGCTCGCGGCCGGGCTGGCCGCCTCTGACCTCGCGACGACGAGGGCCTCCTGCAGGTGCGCCAACTTCTCCTTGAAATCGTTCTTTTCGGCATCACCCACCCTGGAGTCGTGCGTGTCCCTGGTCAGGTCGATGCACAGGTGCCCTGTCGAGATCCTCTTGAGCTTCGCTATCTTGCCCGGTGCGATCTCGTTGAAACAAGCGATCCCCGTCGCGAAATCGACGATGGCCCCCGGGCGCTTCGCGAAGTCGATCGAGCCCAGCAGCGGCACGTAGCGGTCCCCCTTGGTGTTCAGCGCGTAGCCCGACACGCTGCCCAGGTTCCCGTCCGCCTTCGTCGGTAGGTTCGTCCGGCAGGAACATTGCTCGGCATCTTCGTTCGCGAAGGCGAACCTCGGCCGATCTGTCGCATCGACCGTCACCCTACTCGTGTCCATGCCAGCCTCCCGCTGCTTCTCGATGATCTTCTCGAACGCCACGATCGATCCGAACGTCTTCGTAGCTCCGCTGTCGAGCACCATGCACCCCTCGGTCTCGTCCGCGAGCCCGGCCAGGGCGCGCTCGACCTCGTACTCCGCGTAGGCCACCTCCACCGTCTTCGTGATCTGCCCCTCGTCTGTCTCATCTTCGTTCTGCCAGCCTGCGAAGCTGAACGCCAAGTCCCCGACTAATTGAGCTCGTCCGCGTGGTTGTTCCCTGCCTCGGCCTTCCGTGTTCTTCGGGTAATCCGCTCTCTTGCGTGGGCCTCCACAGATGAAACGTGGTCCGCTGTGTCCCTTGCCCCCTTTCTTTCCTTGCTTGCCCTTTCCTTTCTGGCAGAGACGGCGGCTCTGTTTGATGTCTTCCACCACTGCTCTTGCAGGGGCCAGCGTCCTCTTCTGCATCTTCAAGTTCTTCTTTCCCCCCGCGATCGCGGCTGGCGCTTCCTCTGCCTCCGCGCGCTCGTCGTCGTCCAGGCCCTCGAAGTCGATCTCATCCTCGTCCCAGTCGAACTCCGCGAAGGCCTCGTGATCCTCCTCCGCGTCCTCCTCCGCGTCCTAGTCCTCTGGCACCTCCTCGGGATCACCTTCATCGTCTTCGAAAACTCCCAGTGCTCGTCCTCGGCCTGGCTTGTGCGGAGACACGTCGCGCTTCCCGTCGTTGGCGTCGTGCTCCTTCAGATCTATGTCAGCCCACTGGTCCCGCAGAGCTGCCTCGATGTTTTTGAGACCGAGTGAGTTCTTTGCTGACGTCAGTGCCCCCGCGCGCTCCTGGGCGCTCATTCAGCCCAGCTCGCTGGAGCAACGACCACCCCGCCATCGCGGACGGGGCCAGGGCGCCCCTGGCCTCAGCCGTCACCTCCTTCAGCGCTTTGATGTCGACGTCGTCTTCGTCCAGGTTGAACCGCGCCATCAGTGAGCACGGCGCCTCCGTAGCCTTCTCCTTCAGCGTCGCCTTCTTGTGGGCCTTCAGGGATGCCGTTGGTTGTTGCCATGTCCAGTCTGCGGTTCCGGTCGGCGAGCTCGACCACCAGCTGTTTCCGTGCCACCAGCTTCCTCTCCAGTGGCCTTCGTGGTCATCTCTCCTGCTGCCGGCGTCCTCGTCCTCTGCGTCTTCGCCTTCTGGGAGCTCGCGTTCTCGGTTGGACTCCAGCGTCGCTGACTCCGGCTTCTCCTCGGGCCGCGCCTTCCTTGCTAGCTTGATCTCCGCCGTCGCATCCTTCTCTTCGATCCTCCTGAAGCTCTGATCCAACTTCTCGGCGATGATCCGGCTCCTCTGCGCGTGGGCCTTCATGCCCTCGTTGTTCCGCTTCCTGAGCGCGAACAGGCATTCCTTCAGATACTTCGCGGCCTCCGGGATTGGCTCGTCCATGAGCGTCTCATCTAGGAACTCTAACAGGATATTGTGACCTCCCGGCTTCTCCAGCAGCTCTCGTCTCCATCCACCCGCGCTCCGCTCTCCCTCCCTTCGCCGCCCATCGACCGAAAGTGAATTCTTCGCGCTGCAATCGCCCGCGCGACCGTAGTGGGCAGGATCAGTGCGAAGCTCTGCGCCAGCATGGGCGCCTGACTGCGAAGTCAATGCGACTTCGCGCCAGCGCGGGCCGAACAATTTGCCGGTCAATGCAAGTCGAAGACCAGCTTCAGGCTCCTGAGCACGGTCGTCCGAACGGACGTACTCCTCGCGCACCTCATCCCACTCGTGCGCAACTTCGATGAACCGCGCGAACGCCGTTGCGGCGCGCCGGCTGGCGGCGCGGCGCTCGCGGACGTGATTGTCCAGCACGTTCTTTTCAACCTCGCTGACAATCGCCTCCTTGCGTTTGAATTTGGTCGAGCTGGAGTTCGCCGCAGCAGCGTGCTTCTTCGCTGCGTCGGCGCGCGGCTCTGGCAACCTCAACTCCGCCCGGGCAACTCCGCAGCTCCAGAGATGACTTCAATACCGAAAGAATTAGCATCAACCCCAATCAGAAATTGCCGCGCGTTGGGCGCCCTAGATGCGCGACGCGCGGCGCGCGATCTCAGCGAGAAGGAAGGGGGAGTGGGCGGATGGAGTGAGACGAAGGATGAAGCCGACGACGGTGAGGCCAAGGGGCACGAGGAATAACATAAAGACGATGGGGATGAGTAAACAACTAAGGATGAAACAGAAGGGCGAAACAACACAAACTGAGGATCGAAGGAACCCACTCTGGAACCCGTCAATGCAAAAGGTGCTTGGAAAGCTCAATACGCAAACCGCAAATCTTCAACTCTAGGAAATCATGTCTCTAGAGTTGCAGCAGTGTCCGACCTTCGCCAACTTGAAAGTGCCCTCCGCGCCCATGAAACAGCCGTGCTCCGAGTCGCCGTCTCTGTTGTCTGCCAGCTGTCCCCGGCGCGCGCGCGTGGCCCCGGGCTCGCTGGCAACCTTGCCGCGGGGTTTTCTGATGGGCCCCCCGCGTGCCAAAGCTTGCCAATGCAACCTGGGGCTACTCGCGCGTGGCCAATCCTGGACGGCGTCGTCCGCCCCCCTCTTCTGCCGGCGTGAGCAGCCCATGCTTGCCTTTGTTGCCCTTGCCGCCAGGGTCGTGGCCTTTCCCCTTGCCGCCGCCGCCCTTGCGACCAAGGCCCCTCTCCCTTTGCCCTCGCCGCCCTTGCCGCCGAGGTCGTGGTCTTTCCCCTTGCCGTCGCCGCCCATGCCACCGGCGCCCTTACCGTCGACTCTCGCCGCCGCGCGGGACCGGCCCAGGCAAGGCGGGCGGTGTCGCCACAGCGGCCGCAGGAAACTTGGACAGCTTTCCGGCCAGAACCATCCGTACCGGGAAGAGCGCGGCGCTGCCGCGCGCGGGGCCTGCCGGGGCCTGCCCAGCAAGCGCGGGCGGCGCCGCCGCCGTGGCAACTGACGAACTCGGAGCCGGCCTCGCCGCCAGAGGCGCGCCGCTGCCGCGCGCGAGCCCGAGAGAAAGGACGGCCCGAATGGAGCGGGCGGCGCCGCGGCCGCTGCAGGCGCGACGACGCTGGAGCGCACTTCCCAGAAGCGGCCCCGCCGCCAGAAGCGCGGCGCCGTCGCCCGCGGAACCCGTGGGGACCGCCCCGAACGCCGCCGCTTCCGGCGGCGCTGCTTGGCCCCAGTTCGGAGGTCGGGCTCCATCTCAATTGAACGGGCCCCAGGACACACAAATAAACACACACACGCACACAAATTAAGAAATCCCCATCGATTTTCCCATATTTTCTGGGTTTTTGTTTTACCCCCCGCGTCCCATATTTTCCAATATTTTCTCGGGGATCGATTATTCATTGTGCCTGTGTGTTTTTTCCCCTTCGGACCAATGCGAATTCCAGAACTGCTGATGCGTGATGACGATTAATGAAAAAATGAGAGAGAACGATAAAAAATAGTGTTCTGTCATTTCTGCCATTTTCTGACTGGGGAAGAGCGATTTAAAAAAGTAGTAGCGGCCCGTTTTCTCTAATCGTCATGACTGGCGCCGCCGCGTGAACACGACCCCCGGTCATTTATTAATCGTCATCCTCCATTAATCGAGTACCCCCTTCTTTGATCGATATTCTCTCAAGGTGGCCCTGGGGGGGTCTCCGATGCTCCCAAAGGCCCAGGAGAGCCCTCAAAAAGCCTTTTCAATCATGAAAATTGCCCCAAGACGGCCCCCGAAGCGCCCAAGAAGGACCCAACAAACGAGTTTTCGGGCCCCACAGTGGAAACACAAAAGTCCCCCCCTACTAGCAGGGGTGCGTTTCGCTTAGAATTCTGGGCCGGATCGAGCCTTGGCCACGCAAGGCATGCAGAAGGCTCGATCCTCGAGCCTCGAAGCGGGGACCCGACGTTGCAACGCCTGCTCAAACTCGGTCCCCGGACCTCTCGCGGGGTCCATCCTGGCCGGTTCTTCGTTCCCGATGCATTCCCAGCGGCCCTGGAGCCCGACGCGGGCGCCTGGAGGCCGACGTCGAGGAAAAACGTCCGAATATCGACATTGTGAACAAAAATCACGTCGTCGGGATCTGGGGCAGGAGGAGAAGGGTCTTCA